CATAGAGGTGATGAAGTTAATTATAAACGGTGGAAACGGTAACTTCTTCTGCCATCTAGTGGTCAATTCTGAGTGTAAAAATAAAGCAAACTCAATGACCCCAGCGCTGGGTATCTCTCCTACTGCTGTAAATTCTATTTTAATGATACCCCTGCGGTAAAGAAAAATAACGTTCATATTCGGGCGATTGGCCTGAAATGTATTTAAAAGAAACTCAACACATTACACTTGTCATTTCATTATACAGTTGATGAATACATGTGAATAATTATGTTGGCACTGCACATTTTGTCATGTTTACCAAAGTCAACCATGGGTATTTACGTGTACAGCTGTTGGTATGATGTGTCACAATGACAAATAATTCACCTTCACTTATTTGACTTTTTGACACATTTTGTCTTTGTCTTAACAGAAACAGTGCTCAATCTTGTTTTAATGTTCATCTGATATCCTGCTATTCATTTGAATAAAAAATGCTCTCTGATAGCTCTGCGTTTCAACCAACAAACCAAATGTGGCATATCTGAAATCTGTACTATTGCTGCAACAAAACCGTTAAGGTGATCAAATTTAATCACTCACCTCTGATTGGCTCCAAATGAGACCTTAGGAATCAAATAAAAGAGAGGGAGGGGTGAGCAGTCAGTTTGCCTCACTTCCCATAAATTGCAGAAATAAAAATTAAGTAAACACAGAATAATCAATGTATGACAAGGCATTAGAGAGGTCATTGTTTGGGTTTAGGTTTAAAAATTGTCTCTGGTTTCTATTATATATATATATATAAATCCACTATATCCGATTGTGGTGTAAAGAGTGTGTCATAATTTGCAAGAGAATTGCAAGTTACCATCAAAAGCAACATTTTTAATTTATAATATTATTTAAATATTTATGTGGTCAATACACAATGGCCATCCAATGAACTTTCGGTGTATATGATGCATTATTGATTGTTCATTTATGTCTTTCTATTAGGTATTTATATTTTATAATGCATTGTATTATACTTTTTATTAGATTTTTCTAATAAATAGAAAAATCACATACCTAACGGCTCCTCCTGTGGCAGCCTTTGTGGGTTGCAAAGACTCACACTAAATTTCCCCATTGTAGGACAAATAAGGGACTTTTATTTTATTTTTAGTGTATACACTGGAACAATAAAGACTGAAACACTGATCATTGTCTTCTTCAATGTTTATTTGAAGCATTTTTCATTTGAGGCCAATATGTTTTATTTTTTGCTTTGTGTTTTAACCAACAAACAAAGGTCTGTCCCCAACCTCGACAACAAACACAACAACATCAGGAAAACCAGGAGCCAAACACTTGATCCTGGAGCACACTTGAAGTATTGATTGCATCACTTTCCTACTGATTCGTAAATTGGACACTCCACTGATGGGTCGTTCTTCTTGAGTACTCTGTATTCACATGCATTTTGGTCAAACACTTTTTCACAGTCTGAAGGGAAGCTTCTGGGTATGGAATAGCTGCAATTACAAGAAACAGGTGACAATGGTCACATCAATGCACAATGGTTCTCCCATTCAAACACAGCTACAAGTTGTCATACGTACGCAGAACAGCATCCACTACAAGTACAATCCATACATGCACTATTCCTCCAGGAAGATCCTACTGCATGCCACGTTTCATCTGTGTCATCCTTACAATGTGCTACACCTGAAAAACACAATTTGTTGGGGGCACTAGAGTGTTTTTTTTTTTGCTCAATTTCATATACAGTGTATATATATATATATATATATATAGTATAGTCTGCAGACTTCCATGTACCTGGTTGCGGTATCTTCCCATAGCAAAAGGTATTTGCCACTGGCAGTAGACTGCACAGCAGCAGCACACACAAAGACATAGAGCTCTTTAGAAAGGAGAAAAAAAGAAAGATATGATTTTACCCAGACATACTGAAAATAGTTTTCCATTTCCATTTGAAAATAAATAAATAAATAAATTTACCCTTTTTAACCAGATGATGCAACTGCAGAAAATGTACTCAGAAAATCACACAACTTACCATTATAGCAGTGGAATCGAGATTTGACAGATGCTCAGCTGTAAAATACAGTTTGACGTGTTTATAGGACTCTCTCCTGTAAGCCCTGTGTGAGTGAAGACCTTTGAAATCAAATAAAAGAGAGGGAGGGATGAGCAGTCAGTTGGCCTCACTTCCCGTAAACTGCAGAAATAAAAAATAAGTAAACACAGAATAATCAATGCATGACTACGCAAATTTAACAGGTCAATGTTTGGGTTTAGTTTTAAAAATTGTCTTTGGTTTCTATAAAATATAAAAATCCACTATATAAGAATCCGATTGTGGTGTAAAGAGTAAAAGTAAAAGAAACTCAACACATTACACTTGTCATTTCATTATACAGTTGATGAATACATGTGAATAATTATGTTGGCACTGCACATTTTGTCATGTTTACCAAAGTCAACCATGGGTATTTACGTGTACAGCTGTTGGTATGATGTGTCACAATGACAAATAATTCACCTTCACTTATTTGACTTTTTGACACATTTTGTCTTTGTCTTAACAGAAACAGTGCTCAATCTTGTTTTAATGTTCATCTGATATCCTGCTATTCATTTGAATAAAAAATGCTCTCTGATAGCTCTGCGTTTCAACCAACAAACCAAATGTGGCATATCTGAAATCTGTACTATTGCTGCAACAAAACCGTTAAGGTGATCAAATTTAATCACTCACCTCTGATTGGCTCCAAATGAGACCTTAGGAATCAAATAAAAGAGAGGGAGGGGTGAGCAGTCAGTTTGCCTCACTTCCCATAAATTGCAGAAATAAAAATTAAGTAAACACAGAATAATCAATGTATGACAAGGCATTAGAGAGGTCATTGTTTGGGTTTAGGTTTAAAAATTGTCTCTGGTTTCTATTATATATATATATATAAATCCACTATATCCGATTGTGGTGTAAAGAGTGTGTCATAATTTGCAAGAGAATTGCAAGTTACCATCAAAAGCAACATTTTTAATTTATAATATTATTTAAATATTTATGTGGTCATTAGAAGTAAAACTCAATGGCAATTATAGCAGTGGAATCGAGATTTGACAGATGCTCAGCTGTAAAATACAGTTTGATGCATTTATAGGACTCTCTCCTTTAAGCCCTGTGTAAGTAAAGACCTTTGGAATCAAATAAGACAGAGAGGGATGGGTGGGCAATTAGTTTGTCTTACTTCCCGTACATCGCAAAAATAAAAATAAAAATATATATAAACACAGAATAGAGAAAGAAGAGGTGAAGAGAGTTGGGTGAAAAAATACAACAGCATTTGCTTAGTATATCTTGTGAATTAGAGAAAAGTTCTTCACTGTAAAGAATAATTTCCCCAGAAATTAAAAAAAAATATAAAATCCAAAATTAAAAATTGTTTTAAAAATCGATCGTTGCAACAGGTAGAAAAAGTGAAAAGAGAACCCAATCCAGATTCAAATTCCGGTACTGGTTTTGCGTTGGTTACTGGCGCGCCACAAGAAGGGTTGCCAGTTTGGTTAAAAACAGCGTTCTGCCATACCAATCCTTTTTAGTGTCAAGTAAAGGTGGATACTGAGTACAAACATGGCAACATTTCACACAACAAAGGAAGGGAGGCTTACGCGCAAGAACCGTTGACGTCGTAACAAATCGTATATTTGTTGATAATTATGTTAAGTTGTTTTTGATTTACTACGAAATATGTGTTTTTAAATCATCACGACCAAGATGGAACTATAGAAGGAAGGTGAGCGACAAAATACTGCGATAGCGCTGTCTGTTTAGCATTTAGCTCGTTTAGCTAATATTAGCGAGGCGGTCCAGCCCACAGCAGTGGTTCATGTTGAAAAGACAAAGTATACGCCTTCACATTAGTCATTTTACTGAGAAGAAGGGTCGATTTTAAATACAATTAATATAATAGAAAATTATTTTACTTATGTAAAATCGTAACCGTATTGAGTAGGGCATTGGGCAAAGCACCTGTCAATATAGAGAGAGATGTAGCGAAATGGTCACATATGCGTGTTGTAAAACAATATAAAATCTATTTTACCAGTAGAGATAAGTCATTACAAAAATATAAAATGTTTTTTTTTTATCCTAAACATGTATTTGGTGCGTTCCTTTGCATCAAATAAACGGTGCAATGTTGGCATGTAGCTTCTCATTTGTCTCCAGGGCTGTTGATTCTAACAGAAATATAATCTAATTCGATTTTTGCCCCCTTGCTTTTTTCGGTGAATCCTTTTGGTTAGGTATTGTTTTTTATTTATTTTTAAGTTAAAAATGTTATTCAATTTGAATTTTATGGTTAATGAAAAAAATATATCTATTCCTTTTTTCCATTGCAGACTTATTCTGTACAGGTTGTGAGGCCCATCTCAGGGCCCTTTGGTGGTCAGGAAGAGAATGCATCGAAGTGGGGATAAGGAATTTCAGATATCTGCTAGGAAGATGGGCACTTCCTTGCTCTTCCAGCTGTCAGCTCATGAACGAGAATTGGATTTAGTTTTTCTGGACCACAGCTATGCCAAGCCATGGAATGCCCATCCAGATGCCAGCAGTGCTAGGCCCACAAGGACATTGTTTGTTACACCTCGTCGTCAGGCTGAACCCACAGTGTGAGTGAAAATGTTTTAATGTAGTTGACCATTTCTTATCAAGTAGTGCTGAGACTTGAATTTAATCGTCATCCAAAATAATTTAAACAGAGGAACTTTGTCTATTGTGTTAAATGACATTATTTGATTGGTTGTACTTAATGGGAGCTTAAATGTGACTCTACTTAATTAGAAAATACTGTTATCCGACGCAAGCAAAGATTTTCATAACAACAACTTTTTCCTTGCACTTCCTCTTTTCCTATGTTTACAGAGACTCTGAGTCTGTATTAGATGTGGAAACAGTCACACCAATGCCTGTTCCTCTGTACGATAACCACAAAGCCCTAAGTGTAATGAAGGAGTGTGAGCGACATGTCCTCTTTGCCCGCACTATTGCTGAGAGCCCTCCTCCACCAGAAGACTGGGAAGAACAGTTGAACAAGTAAGCCAATATACAAATCTGTCTTGTGTGATGCTTGTCAATGAAAATGTCCTGTGTTAAGGACTTCGTATCCTCTTTCAGGACTGGATGGTCAGTGGCTCAGAATAAACTGTTCAATAAAGTTGTTAAGGCCCTGCAGGCTGAACGACTGGCCCGCCTGGCCAATGAAAATGTAAGTTGTGTCATCTTTTCGTTTTTAATAGCTTGTGAGAACAACATAAATGTACCATTGTTATTAACCACACTATTTAATTGTTTTCGCTTTTTGTACTGACACTTGGGTTCTTTAAAAACACGAATGGATGCTACTTTGGTAAACATGCATTGTGATCATGTTATTTGGATTTTGTCCATTTCCTACCTTTCTGTTAGACATCCAATGAGCCAATTTTACGGAGGATAGCAGTAGATAAATGTGCTCGGAAGGTTCGTCAAGCATTAGCAAGTGTGAGCTGGGACATCAAACTGACACAGTGGTTACACACCACACTCATTGACTCCTTAAGTCTTGCCATGCTTGCGGCATACCTGGATGTGCTGCAAACTCTCAAAAGCAAGGTATTATTTTCCATTATTTCTGTATGCTGCAATATTTGTATATGCCTCTGGAACATATTTTGTTTACATTATCTTTCTATGTCTGTTCAGCTGCCCTCGCTCATTGACAGAATGCTAATGCCTTCAGCAAAGAGTGGCACAGCAAGCACGGAGGCTCTGTCTCTGCTCCTCAAACGGCCTTGGGACCCAGCTGTTGGAGTCCTATCTCAAAACAAACCAGTTAGTTAAACTCTCTTCCAAATCAAATTGTTTATGAAAAGGCTTGAACTTTGGTCTAGAACATAAGGAGATCCCTGTTTATGTTTAAACTTTTTCAGAGCAAACTACCTGGTTCTCCACTCATCCTCATTGCACCATCTGGACCCTCTTATTCTGCCCTTTCCCCTTCACGACGAATGAGATTCTGGCAATCACAGCTCTCCTGTTTAGGAAAAGTATTGCTCACATTTCCATTGCAGTGACACCTAAATAAAAGTGTATATATATATTTTTTTTATTATCAGTCAGAATATTGCCCAACATTTGCTGTGTTTTTCTCAGGTTGTACCTGTGCACACTCATGTCAACAGTGGGGCTAACATTGGCGTTACTCAGTGTCTGGAGCACATGTTGGGCACTGTACGGGCAAAAGTCATGGAGGTCAGTTGGTCTCAGGGATTCTGCTTTGTACATAACATAACTACATAACTAAATAATTGCCAATGCTGCTTCAGCAGAATCACACATTTCATGTACAAGTCTAA